GCGCATTACAATTTTCCGGAGTAGGAGTGGAATTCTGAACGTCTAGAGGAGACGCGGACAAATCTGCAAATGCGAGGCTTCAGGTGCCAAATGCTTTCGTCGTATAACGTGAGTAACCGCTCCTCCCGCTTTTCTATTCAACATTGATCACGATCTATGGACAGATGGAGAATGCACTCCGAGGCTACGGAATTACGTCGCGTCGCGCGTCGTTGCTCCGACTGATCTCGCGCGCACCGCCATTTTTGGATCAGCCGATGGACGATCTTCTTGCAACGTGTAGATTTTGTTCCGTTTTCTAGACGATAGCGGGTGATCTAAGATTGCAAAATGTTGGAATTTCAACGATGACCCATCTAACTGTTTTATGGCTCTTTTGTGAGGGTGAGCCGTTGGCGACAGAGGCCCAGGTCGGCTCAGACGATAGTCAGTTCAAAAGTAGAAACCGAACCGTGAGGTTGCCACCTAGGAATTTCACCAACACCATATTTTCTGTATCTCTGTAGTTTTATAATATATCATCATCATTTATTTTACTGGATACGCGCGAATGTTCTGGAGTAGAATTTGNGTCGCTCACAAAGCGGGAGAGCACTTAATCCTAATATGGAAATATGTCGGCAGATCTACGGGCCGACGATTAATGCGAGCGAATCGATTTTTGGCGTGGAAGCGCCACGGTTTGCCGCCAAATCCTGGAAGCCAGGCCAAGTGCCGGAAACACGGGAATTCCATCTGGATTTACTAAGATCAGTGCCATTTAATGTGGAGCTCGATAAATCCCTTAAAAGCTGCCGGCCCGCAAGAAGACGGCGCATTACAATTTTCCGGAGTAGGAGTGGAATTCTGAACGTCTAGAGGAGACGCGGACAAATCTGCAAATGCGAGGCTTCAGGTGCCAAATGCTTTCGTCGTATAACGTGAGTAACCGCTCCTCCCGCTTTTCTATTCAACATTGATCACGATCTATGGACAGATGGAGAATGCACTCCGAGGCTACGGAATTACGTCGCGTCGCGCGTCGTTGCTCCGACTGATCTCGCGCGCACCGCCATTTTTGGATCAGCCGATGGACGATCTTCTTGCAACGTGTAGATTTTGTTCCGTTTTCTAGACGATAGCGGGTGATCTAAGATTGCAAAATGTTGGAATTTCAACGATGACCCATCTAACTGTTTTATGGCCCTTTTGTGAGGGTGAGCCGTTGGCGACAGAGGCCCAGGTCGGCTCAGACGATAGTCAGTTCAAAAGTAGAAACCGAACCGTGAGGTTGCCACCTAGGAATTTCACCAACACCATATTTTCTGTATCTCTGTAGTTTTATAATATATCATCATCATTTATTTTACTGGATACGCGCGAATGTTCTGGAGTAGAATTTGTAATTCTGAATAAAGTGCTTTTAAGTATCTTTTCATTTTACAACACAGAACTATCTTGTTCAAGCATTCAACTTATTCATTCTGTTTTGTACTCTCTTTCTCATCTTCGCATAATTCTTTTTTTACTAAATCACTTACCTGTTACACTTATTTATATGGCATCTGTCTCTTTACCTTTTCCTTTTCATTTCCATATTATCTAGCTTCTTTAGCTTCTTTAACTTTTTCAGCTACTCTAGCTTCTTTAACTTCTCTATAATTTTCTTATCGTATCTATTTCTTACTATGTCGAGAAAACATAACCTCTATTTTACAGCAGGAATCCTTAACCCTGATGTCCTCCTTACTATTTCTCGCGTTCGTATCCTTTCGGGTCGTAGCGACTCGATGCACAGAAGTTGATGTTTTATCTGTATATCTGGATTTATTTGTTCAATATTATATCCCATACGTAAGAATTATTACGTTTATTCACTGCATGTAACAATTTTTAAACATATATGTTTAATAATAAATAAACGAAATATTTAGAAACGCGTCTAAAAAATGCAGGACAGAAATACAACATAATAAGCACAGATTCTTGCAGATTGTTCGAAACAATTGAATATTATTTTTTACTTCTTTACTGCTTTGCTACTTTACTACTTATGTACTTCACTTACAGCGTAATGATAAAGACTGCATCAAGAGTGGAATCGCGGAGCTTGTGCAAAATGCTACTTTAAAATTGTCGATCGTTAAATGCCATTTTTTCTTTTTTTTTTGAACGGTGCACCGACGTTTGAAGTAGATTTTAATTAACAAGAATATTTCTTCCGTTGTATCGCTTCTTTCGTACAAAAGAGAATGGCCTAATTTGATCCAAAGCCAATGACACTGAACCATCGCGTAGTATGATGGGAACAAAACATTTGTCCAGTGTTGCTAACGGTGCTAATTGGCTGTGTATTTTGTTTTGTATCTGATCTAGCTAGTTATCTAAACATTGCTAGAAAAATTACGAACATGTAAACACGTTAGAAAAATTGCTGAACATTGATATCTTCTCTTCGCTTCGTTAGAGATTATTTTTTAATAATCTTTAATAATACTTTTCAATTTTGTGTTTCTTACAGTTGAGTAAGATCATTTTTATTTCGCGTAAAGATCCGCAGTCCAATCATCACCGATGCCAGTCGAGTATGAATTACCAAATTAACGCTAAACCTATACAGTGTCGGTAAAAAAAAGGGCCAGTTCCATAATTCTTCTTTAAAAATTGTTCGAAATTATAAGTTGTCTTTTCCGTAAGAAAATGATCAAATGCATTCCTTAATTTCTACAAAGCAGCACACGTCGAACATGCTCGGTGCTTCGTTAGGCATAGTGTTAAAATCTAGAATGCGCTGATACACACAAATTCAGAGAAGAACGTCTAAAGCAACGTACACATGCCCGACAGAAAATACAACCAGCCCTATATTTCAAGACGACATCGCAGAAGCAGCGTGCTGGAAAGGAAACCCGAGTCTCCTTTAGGACCACAATATTCGATCTATATTTGTCGGTGGTAAAATACGTTCTCGTAGAAAAGGACTGCGGGGAGGAGGGTCTGCTAAATTGTTCTCATCGAGTGGCGCCAGGGTTCGACGCGCGAAAACACGGGATCCACTCGGAATCTATCGGTTTCAGAGGTGTCGTTACTCAAAGGGCTGTCTCCGTGGCGATACAGGACGAGCTGCTGAAAAACCGTGACAGAATGACCAGCGGGATCGGTGTGGACTAGTGGAACCTCTCTCTTCCTCGGTTCTCTCCCTCTCTGGCGTTCCTTAGAGCCGGAATAGAAGTGCGGGCGGAGAATAGACGTAGGGTAGTAAGTGGGCTAGTAAGTCTCGCGATAACAGTTATAAATGACCCTCTCGAAGTGCGGCGCCGCGCACACCCAACCCTCAGACTATGCCAGACACTGGCTCCTCGGTAACCTAACACATGCCCCGCACGATATAGTCGTAAAAGGCACTAAACAAACATACGCTAAGTGGCCGGCGCGTGTGCGCGCGTAACCACTCCCCTCTCTATTTATCTTGCTCTTACTCTCGCTTTCTCTTTCTCTCTCTCTCTCTCTCTCTCGCTATCTATCTCTCTTTCTCTTGCAAATACTCTCTGATCCTCTCTCCCTGTTTACGTATCCTTGATCGATAATTGTGTGCGAGACATTGCGTGGCCACGGATCGATCGTTCCGCGGGCCCGTTTACACCGCCGACCCGCCACTTTTTGGAATATATCTCCGTTCCGGGGGTGCTTCGGAATACAAACTATCCCGTGTGCTTTGCACTTCCCCCGTTACTCGTTCCACATAATTGCTGTGCTTTCTGAACGAGCCGACACGCGGGACATCCTATCGCGTGCTTCGTTCGTTGTGGGAAATACCGATCGGAGGATCGTCGTTCACGGGGACATCGGACGGGGTGGTTCGTTCGGCTGAGAAGCTTGGAATTCAGGTTTCCTTGGGAAATCTGCTAAGCTTGCTTCGCCGGGGAGGGAAAACAATGTGGGAAAGTTGGCCGGGATGGTAGAACTTGCGCGAGATTTTTCGGATCGAACAGATTGCACCGTCGACCTCTTCCGCTGTAATGGGGTGTCGGCAAAGAATGAACGGGGTGTTTGAACTGAAACAGGCTTCCCAATTGCCTTCTTTAATTGTTCATGTAATTTGTCAGTTGTTATATATTCGTAGAATATTTGTAGGATATTTGTAGATTGTTTGTGGATTGTTTGTAGAATATTTGTAGATCATTTGTACTATGTTCTTTTTTACTTTGTACTTTGCACTTCGTATTTCATACTTTGTACTTTGTACTTTGCACTTTATACTTCATACTTTGTACTTTCTACTTCGGGCATTTCCGATTTATCTTAATTCAAAACCGGAATCACAAACACCTTTGCTAACGCGATCCATGGAATATTTCTTGAAGTAGTTTTCTAACAATTTTCAACAAATATGTAGTTTATTTAGGAGAATTATTGACTGAATTGTTCAGAGATTATCAGACGATGTTTTCTTTGACGAAGTTCCGCTTTTGATAAATCTCTTTTCCAGCATAAGTAGAAACGGTGAACTGTAATCAGACTCTATTTCACAATTTGAAATCGAAAATCATTTCCTTTAAACATCACAAAAGTATTTCTACTTTAAATTTACGAAAATATTTCTTTCTAATTGTTCTATTTACCCAAATATCCTAAACAATATTACCAAACAAATTGAATTACCGCAGAATAATCAAAGGGTTGCGAACCTATAGTTGACGCAAACCTAACGCAGAGTGCGCCAGTAACCGACCCAGACGTCCCCGACGTCGGTAAGCGTGAATTGCAACCCCTAGATGCGCATACGAGCCGCCCTGCTAATCAATAATCACGTCCGTTTACAGTTTGGTTGCAACAAAATAATTAAAATTCACTTAATCGTTCTTAAAAGCGTTACAAATTTGACCAGATTCTCAATTAAAGTTAATCGATGAAATTATTAATCGAGTTGGCAGAGCTGTTTGAAAACGCATTTCCGCGCTGAGAAAAGCACGCAAGCGCAATCGGGGTTGATAACAGACGGAGACTGGGAAATATGGACCGCAGTCTGCACGATGGCGCTATCTTCTGATATCGATTTCGGTCCAATGGGACGCAGAACGCTCGTGTCCCGTTAATCGCGTTTCATACTGTTATTTTCCAAAAGGGAACCGTTTTTTTTCTTCGTACTAAACACCCTCTCGGCGTGATAATGTCAACTTGCGGAACCGTGGTGTGCGGTGTCAGCAGGTGAAGTTCACTGGCAGTTTGTTCGCTGGGAGTGGCCGTTGCCATCTCGCCTCTACGCAGATTTGTAAATAGTCGGGATTAAAATGCGAATATGTGTGCTCGGGATATTTCTAAATTATATTAGCATCGTGTACGGTGAGTCTGCTCTAACACTCTTGTTATATCGTCGCTTTTAATCGGGCGGAATCCTGTTGCCATCCTCGCAGAGCGTGTTGTTGTCTCGATCGGCGACCGTCTCTTTGTATACGCCCATTTTAATATTTTATGGAAACATGGTTTCAGGTGCCGCGGGAATGAAAACTTTCGAGGCAAATCCTGACACGAAGAGGCTTTACGATGACTTGCTGTCTAATTATAACAGACTCATCCGCCCAGTCATCAATAACACCGAAACGTTGACGGTTTGGCTCGGCCTAAAATTGTCACAGTTAATAGAAATGGTAGGAATATTTAGATTCTATATTATTTTGTTAAAGCGTCGATAGAATTGCTTGAGTAATGGAGCGTTGATCTTTGCAGAACTTGAAGAATCAGGTGATGACCACGAATGTCTGGGTGGAACAGGTATGATCTCTACTTATAAAGAATCTATTACGATCATCGTACATTTATCGTTTCGATTTTACTGTAATTTATGCGGTGATATGGTTTCGTTTCGCAGAAATGGTTTGATTATAAATTGCAATGGGATCCAGAGGAGTACGGTGGCGTGGAGATGCTTTACGTGCCTTCCGAAAATATTTGGCTGCCAGATATCGTCTTATACAATAAGTAAATAACGTAATCGTTTAGATAAACTAGTGATTTCGAAGAATTTTAATAATTTAAATATGACAATTGATATCACATTTATGGCAAATATTCACTCGTGTAACACTTTTATATTTTTTTATTACTGTTACGTGCCAACAGAAATGGCAATGTAAAAATTTGTTAAAATTACAGCACGGTAAATTCTAACGACGACCTAAAGTCGCCATTTCGTTTCAGCCTAAATCAAAGCAAAATCTGTTGCAGAAAAATTATAATTTATTTCTGTATTTTTGTAACTATGTCCTTCAGCGCCGATGGCAACTACGAAGTAACGCTGATGACGAAGGCGACGCTGAAGTACACAGGCGAAGTGTCTTGGAAGCCTCCAGCGATTTATAAGTCATCCTGCGAGATCAATGTGGAATACTTTCCCTTCGACGAGCAATCATGCATCATGAAATTCGGTTCATGGACGTACAACGGCGCTCAGGTGATAACTCCAAAATTACGCCACCGCCATTAACGATTCTTATAGATTCATTTGAATTTCATTTCGACTGTTCAATAAATTACTGCAGAACAAGTCGTTGCGAAGGTGCAAATAATTAGTGTTAGGGTAGTCTTTCGAAAAGATGCTTTGTAAAGACTTTTGCCAACAGGTAGATCTGAAGCACATGAAGCAGATACAAGGCAACAATATGGTAGAGTCAGGCATCGACTTGAGCGACTTCTACTTGTCTGTAGAATGGGACATTCTCGAAGTTCCAGCCTCCAGAAACGAAGAGTATTATCCGTGCTGCACAGAACCATATTCTGGTTAGTCTTCGATCGATTAAATTCAATATTTTCCTTCGATCTTCTACGTTCAATTTTGCCGTATTATTCAGATATCACATTTAACATCACGATGCGGAGGAAGACGTTGTTCTACACGGTCAACTTGATCATCCCCTGTGTGGGCATCACTTTTCTCACTGTCCTCGTTTTTTACCTGCCGAGCGACTCAGGCGAAAAAGTACGTAAAACACTGTGTAATGACTTAATCATTTTCACTGAATATGTATGTGTCTTGCATTCAGTATGTTTTCTTCGTAGGTCTCACTGTGTTCCTCGATTCTGCTCTCGCTTACGGTGTTCTTTTTACTACTAGCCGAAATTATACCGCCGACATCGCTGGCCATACCACTTTTAGGGAAATACTTGCTGTTCACCATGATCTTGGTCACTCTATCGATATGGATCACCGTATGCGTTCTAAACGTCCACTTCCGGTGACTAGAATTCAATGAAACTTTTCAATCGCATAAATTCACATTTTTCATAAACTGCGAGCTCGATTTAACCGGCCAAACTTTAACGCTTCAGTGTTCATTCATTCTGGTTCACTTTTAATAGATCTCCATCCACGCACAACATGTCTGACTGGGTTAGACAAGTATTTCTAAATTGGATGCCTCGGATGCTGATGATGCGTCGGACACCATATTCAACCCCTGAATACGATGACACTTACATGGACAGCGGCTATACTAACGAAATAGATTTTAGGTGGGTAGTTCATACAGGAAAGTTATCCTCAAAAGCATAGAATAAAATGCTTCACTGTAATATGAAGCCTCTGAAAGTATTCTGAAACATAGGATGAAACGTTTTACTAGACTGCGGAGCTTGTTTTTTGAAAAATGAATGGAAAGGTTTAAATGAAAAAACTGTTACTTATTAATAAGAGATAAACACTTCTGTGTATCTCATAAATTTGTTCATGCGTCCAAAGTCTAGTAACAGCTAAAATAAAAGGGAAGCAGCGATTTTCTTCTGAACCGAATTTTCTACCGCTAAACGAAAGAAAAATTATAATTATAAAAAGAATAATTATAATGTCATTGACGGTAGTGAGGTACCAAATTCAGAGACACCTAATTTCAATTTTCCATAGCGTTAGCGATTATCCGCTGGAATTGAAAGGAAGTCCGGACGGGTTCGAGAGCGTCACCTCGCAGTTAAAAAATATTCGAGAGGACGACGCCCGACACTTTCCGCATGCATCAGGTAAATCATCGTCAATGTTCCATATAAAAAATGTTTATTTAGCATTTCTATCAAAATACAACGTTCTCGGCATACGCGAGAACGATTACAAACGAACCTGAAAAATCGTACTGCCTGATATTCTGTCGAAAACACATGACATGGAAATATTAATTAATCATGAAAATTAACGCTATCCTCGTACACAGAAACGTGAGGTACAATGTAATGATGTTTAAACGGAACGATGTGGTAACAATGAGACATGTGATTACAGTTACTGACAGTGAGAATACTATGCCAAGACACTTGTCTCCGGACGTCATATCAGCCCTGAAGGGTGTGCGTTTTATTGCTCAACATATAAAAGATGCGGACAAGGACAACGAAGTGAGTGGAATTCACCTAGCACACAGTTTGTTTAGTTTTAATACGTCGAATGGCAATGATTAGAATCTTGTCTTGAACACGTTGACTGGCATGTTAATGAGACAAAGAAATGGATTTTATTGGAATTTCAAGGAGACTGGGGAATTGAAGAAGCTGTGCAGAAAAATAAGATTCCCTAAGGAACTTATGAGTGCTGATAGACATTGTGAGATATGCAGTCAACGTGTAAACAAGTGAATCCGTAAATTATTAACAACAGAATTTTGCTCTAATGTTTTCCAGGTGATAGAAGATTGGAAATTCGTAGCAATGGTGTTGGATAGATTGTTTCTTTGGGTTTTTACTTTAGCATGTATCGGAGGAACCCTCGGTATAATATTCCAGGCACCTAGTCTATATGATACAAGAGAACCCGTGGACCAACAACTCACTGGAATATCATTTCGCAAATATATGTATCCAAATTTAGAAGAAATCCCGTCGAAAGCAACCGAAAGTCCAATAACAAACAATTATTAACCTTGATCCGCTAACGAAAAATCAATAAAGGGTCGAATAGTCTAGAAAAAGAAATGAATACTCAAGATTCGATTGCGTTGAACAACTACAAAACACCTAACACCAAGGTTAATAAAAGGCTTGAGCTACGAAACAAGCGATTAGTCTTTTTTTATTCCGTTGATTGACACCGACGGAATGACCACTCTACAATGATTAAAAGTGTATTAAAATATCTTTTTTCGTTTCGACGAAACCCATCAGTCTCCCCATATGTTTTCTCTTCTTTCCTCTACCGAATGCTAAATAAGCTATACGAAATAATGATAGAACGGAATGCAATTGAATATAATTCAACTCACTCACTAAAGCATCTCTTTCCCTTTCAGTACCAAAAGTAAAAACATAATAATGATACCGAGATTAACTCCAAAATGACGACAATTTTACTTCAGACAATCACGAAACTAATCAACGGTTGTCTTGCATTTTTTTCTATACGCGATTCATACGAACATTAAACATTTGGCAGTGTCATTTTTAGAGATAAATATAAAAAACTTTGCTTTATTCTAAATCAATTATCATCAATTCTGGCGAATCACTAGTACTGCTAATAGAGCTGGTCTGCGATTTTTTTGGCGAGGATGTTCCGCAAGCATGCTTCTTTGTACTCTGTGTCGGTGTATTGTTTTCATCGTCGTCGTCGCTATCTGATATTAAATCAATTACAACAGCTCGTTTCTTTTCCTTCGGCGGTGCAGGATTGCTTTCATCTAAATTGCAAACCCAGATATTAGCTAAAAATAATTGAACGTTGTTTATGCCTGATAGTATGCCTTAAATTAACAAACATCGTGGTAAGCAAAAGCTGTTTCCCAGGATCATGATTTTCCAGATTTCAAGGTCATCAATGTTTGTCTTTTAAATAGAAGAATAAATTTTTATGAATATTATATAATAGTCAAGACCAAGATGAATGCGATTATAATACATGTAAATAATACAAATATCAAAAATAAATAAAAAAAGGTATCTCACCGAGATCCACTGTGTCCACAGCGATCTTGCGATCTTGCGAGTTTGTGACTACTTTCGTAGTTTCAGATTTGTCTTTGTCTTTCTCCTTTTTCAAGACTAAATTTTCCCAAGAACCATCCTGAAGAAGCTGAATCTCATTTACATCCGGTAGCAATTTCTTGGAGTTGAGTACCTCCTGGAAATAGCCATCGATAACGAGATTATCGTACAACGCTGGCTTATCGCAAACTGGACAACTCCATGTGGGCTTTCTCTCGTTCATTTGCAGGAACAACGAGGCGTCAAAGCATTGCAAATGTGAGCATGTGGACGATCGACAGGGCGTGATCATTCGCATTTTTCCTAATGGACACGCTAACGACACCCGGAGCGACGTTGTTGCTATTTCGCTATCCGCATCCTCGTTCAGTTTTTCCTTAACTATGCCAAAAATCAATACGGTAAGAGTTGCTCTCAAAGATAGACGAGATGCTGAGGATGAGTCCCTGCTACTTACTTAAGCCCCTTGTGTAATCCGAGTGTCGCACGCCTCTACATTTTAATCTTGATAATAGCTCAGCACTTGATAATTTTCTAACTAGGTACACTGCAATTGCATACCGTCTTCCGTAGTCAGCCGACCATGTGACATGGATGTGATTCGTTACGGTTGGCGATAATTTAATTAAAGCGCTAATCTGAACAGGCCTCGGTGGTCTCTTTGGTTCCACCCCCGGTTTATTTGTAGGTATAGGATTCTGGTCGAAATGAGAGTAGTCAGACAATAGTCGAATATTTTATCGTAAAGTAAAAATACAAAGAGTATCAAAATTATCGTATTTCCGGAAAATGGGGGTTTCGTGAAGCCATTTGAAGTAACTTTTTCCTTCGCGAAAATGCAATCTGCGGCTTTGTTTACAAATCATTAACGAAAAACAGTGATCAATGAGAGGCGAAGCAATGAACAAGTCAAGCAACGTGAACTATTCGAATCTTTTTTACTACATGACAGTGACACTTTTAAGAAAAACCCTGTTCACACTTATTTTAGAATGTCCACTTACTAATTTTTCGTTGCCGAAATAGTAAGTAGTTCAACCGTGACAGCCGTTTTAATTATTAATTGACCCGTTTGCAGTAAAGATTAACGATAAGAAATCCTGTCAAACTTACGCAAAAGATATTTTTATTTCAATAATTCCATATCCAAACAAAATTCAACGAACGATTCGGAAAGCTAATCTAATGATAAATTGCGTTAAAGAACATGAAGGATACGTTCGTTTAAGAGTTGTGGAGAATACCATTAACAGTAAACTCACCCATTTAGTTGAGGATGCATTTGTTGCTTGGAAATGTGGATGACGATTCACGATGTCGATACACTGACTCGCACAATGTTCAGTTGATCCCAGATCGATGGCCATACCGAGGGAGGGGTACGGTCGGTGGGATCACAGGTAAAAACGGTATGGTAAACATGGAATTCATTTTCACAACACTGTCGCCAAACATTTAACGAAGCCACAACAATCAGGAAACGTGTGCAGATGTCCTTTGGATTCCTTTCATTGATTCCTGCATTAAAATTGGGCCTCGAACAACTGCTTCCTCTACTCTTCCAAGAGAGAAAAGCTCTCCAGTTTTCGATGTATTTATCGCAAGAACAAAGCTGAATGTTTTGGGTACTTGTGGACTGCCGCGGAAATGTGAATGAAACAATGCGGATGTTGTAAAAGGATTTTCCATAAACCCTGGCAGTGCGGTATATCCGAAGACTGCAATACAATTTTTATCACAAAGGCGTTATAGATTGCAGTGAGTGCGAAGCCGGACGGGCGCATTCCACGCGAACGTTGGAAGCAAAGGAAGCAGTTATCGAGGCCTGATTTTAATACAGAAATTAACAAGAGGAATCCAAAAGACATCTGCACACATTTTCTGATTGTTGAGGATTCATTAAGTGGTCAGTGTTTGACGACAGTGTTGTGATAATGAATTCCGTGTTTATCACATACCCTTCCTATCTGCAATCCCTCCGACCGTACCGCATCGACATCGTGAATCGTCACCCACATTTCCAAGTAGCAAATGCATCCTCAACTAAATGGTATAAACACTATTAATAAATACTATTAATGATATTCTCCACAATTCTTAAACAAACATATCCTTCATGTTCTTTAACGCGATTTATTATTAAATTAGCTTTCCGAATTATTCGTTGAATACTGTTTGGATATGGAATTATTGAAACAAAAATACCTTCTGTGTAAGTTTGACAAGATTTCTTATTGTTAATCATCACTGTAATCGGCTCAATTGATAATTAAAACGACTGTCACGGTTAAACTATTTCTTATTTCGACACCGAAATATTAGTAAATATTCTTCAGTCATTCTAAAATATGGGTGAACAGCGTTTTTCTTAAAAATATGACTATCATGTAGTAAAGAAATGGGGAAAGTTCATACTGTGTGACTTCTTATTATTTATTGCTTCGAACACGGCCTGAAGCATCGCGCTCCACGGTCGAAGCCGATGCTGTTCACTCACTCGCCTTACAGTTGCCGAGCTCGCCTCTCATTGGTCATCGTTTTTCATTAATAAATGGTAAACAAAGCCGCGGATTGCATTTTCGCTAAGGAAAAAGTTACTTCAAATGACCTCAGGAACCCTCTATTTCCCGAAAATACGATAATTTTTGAACACCCTATATACTGTTCTTAGTTTACTCACAGGTAAAGGACACAGTTTTCCATTAACTTTCACTGCAATACTAGGTGGAAAACAGTCTTCTTGTTCACATGAGGTCTCTTGTAAACAAAATCGCATTTGTACCTGTGGTTTAGAATGTAACATGAATTTACTCGAAATTGTTGGAAAGTACGGATAGGTAATTCTGTGTGATTCACAGAACTGAATTAACCAATGATACCTGTACACTATAGTCAATTTTACTCCCCGCCCGACAATCCCGTGAACTAGCTATGTCTGTCGTTTGTTGTGGTGTTAAATGAAACATAAACGTGTTTTCCTGAAGTCTCATAGATCCCTGAGGCATCAAGCTAGACGGTTTCAGTAATTCGGCGAGTAAGTCGTAAAATGGGAGCTTTTTAAGTCTAACATCTGGATGAACAGGATACTGACTTCTAGGTTGTATTTGTAATGGTGAGGGTAGAACTTTTGGAGGATATGGATATGGACTATAAGCAGCACTTGTTGTCTGCTGAAATGTTAAATAAGATGTAAGCTAATGAATAGTTTTCAAATAATCCACATTAAGTTTCTTGAACTAACTTGTGGTGTTACACTGGTGTAGCCTGTGGTTTGATAAACTGGATTAGTTCTAGGTGTTGGTAGCGATGCCTGATGTGCTGGGGGAAGATCTTTCCCACTGGAGACTGCTGACTGTTGCAGCTGCTGACTGATTTGCCTTTGAGAAGTAAATACACAAACAATAATATTATTCAATATAATTATTTGTGTTACCGAGTAGGTAAAAGTTAAATAGACTTACCTAGTATAATAATTTCTGGATTGCATGTTTTGATCAATTTGTGGTTCCCCAGAACCACCTGTTTGACCGTACATTTGATGTGACGCAAGTTGATCAGCTCTAAACAAATTATTGAACAGAATAATGGTAATAATGCTTCATTACGATGTATCTTGATATGTATAGTACTTAAAGTATAATAATATGCCATAGTACATATAAAAGAACAAATGCAATTGAAAAAATATATGTGTACTTGTTAAATAAAAGTAATAATTTTTACAAATAAACAAAATTTCGAACGTATACTTGTATTCACATTAATATTATACTCACTGTATGGTTTTATATAGTTCACGTATTTTGAGTTGAACTGGATGGGATCTCAAACGTAACAATTCTAGCGCACGTGTTTGTAACTCTGTTTTTCTACCGGACTTATTTCTACCAGCAAAACCAAGAAGCATCTGAAGTTCAGATACTCGAAAACTCAATACCATATTCTGCAATCACAAAATTAAAATATTCATGTATTTCAACTACTGTACATACAATTTTCCTAAAATGTTTACCTCGATTGAAAAAAGAAAGAATTATTTGTAAAAAAAAAATAATCAAATCTCTAACAAAAGGAAATTTGATGCCTCAAATACATTATCAGCTTTAAACAGGTAATTGATATGTATGTTTCATATACTGCTCTAAAGTATACAAACGTAATTTCAAAAATACGAAATTAGATTTTAAAATACTAGGCATAAAAATCATACTTCAAGTTTTTCTATTCTACAAAAAGTTAATATTGAACTTTTTTTTCGTCAATACACATGTTGCATTAGAACGAATATATCAAATACCAAAATACATTTTTACTTTCACAATTTGAGTGCATATTATATGTGTCGTGATACACTTGCGACAAAACACATACGTTTTTAAATGATACTTCATTTTCGAAAATGGTGTCGAAATGATGATAAACAGCCACAATATGATTTTTAAACGGACCGAGGTAAAAATTAAGGTTACCTATAATTAGGAAGAAATTGCCTGTCTTCTGGATCATTGTGCGGCAGATAGAACATGATTGCCAGTACGAATGTAATTAAAGAAAGTCTGCTAATTATCGTAATATCTCACTGTGAAAGGAAAACAATCATCGCAACAATGGTGTACGAGCTTGTACGGCAGCGTACTAAACGTCTGTTAGTGACTGTTAGTACAATTTACTGACGCGAATCGTAAATCACTAATAACTCGGATATAACCACGATAAATTCACAATGCAGACCCGCCGACTTTTCACACGCAATCTACCTGCACTGCACCACTTTTAATACTTCACTCACCTCTAATTCTTTGGTCTCCGCCATCTTCTTAGACGATTTTTTTTGCGAAGCCGTTTTGCTTATATTATTTCCAACAGTTTTTGACAGAAAAATTCGCATACCCGTTTCTTATAGTATGTACAAGTTGTTTCAATTGCAACTGGTTCCTATACTTTTCTTGCGTTTAAATGTAGCTATAGTGAATAATACCGTTTAATGGCGCGAAATCGATTTTTACGTTCTAATTGTATGATTGCAGTGAAAAATCTAGCTTCCGTTGGAAAGCTCAATTCTTCTGTAAAATTTTCTGTTCGACGGCATAAGAACGAAGCAAATATCGATATTGGACACTTCATTCGTTCGAAATGTGAAAAGGGATTTTCCAAGATGGCCGCCTGCACTGGATTTGCAGCTTAATTTGTAAAATCGGTACAACTTAAAGAAGCCGAGTAAGATCTTACATGGTGTGACGTTTACTTTCTTAAACATGCGCTAAATAAGATACTCACATCTTACATTAAGGTTGTTCGTTTAAATTCTCTCTATATTTTTCACTGTCTTAAGAAATCTACACGGTAATGGAAAATCTTTACGTACACATACTGGTTATGTTTCATCTATTAGATTGCATGTATCGTACTAAACATTTTACATTCTGCTATATCTATGAGAAATATATTATAAATTTATAATGTTTTCCAATTTATAATTCGACTATTCACTTTTAAAGACACGAAATTGCATTTAAATATTATAATAATCTTTTATCTAAATGCATCTTACAATAATAAAACACTGTCGTATATTGGAAACACGAATATACAATGCAACGTAAACCTATAATCCTTTATGGCGGTCATATCTTTTCAGAACTAGATAATAGATGATCTCCACTATACCGATGTGATATTTTCACTAGGTGTTCAGCCATACAATTGGTTTACCCCTAGAGAAAAAACACATTTTAGATAAATATCTTTTTACCCTAGTAACTTTTCTAATGCCGTTTACAGATTCTAGTAATTAGTGTCATAAAAATATCATAAAAATGAACCATTATCTCAACCTTTGGTAAAAACTCTGTTATTATAAACCACTAAAATTCAAAGTGTTCATAACTTTTCATAACAGTTCAATTTTATCTTCATTACATCTATGTGAAAATTTTCCTAGGTATTCGATGAAACAATTGGATCCCACCTAGGGAAAAAATACACTCCAGATTGATATCTTCTCCATTTGGCGATTCTCCAATGGCGTAACAGATATTATTAGTTAGTGTTATGAAAATCATGTTATCTTCTAGTGGAAAAATCTGTTGGCCTGTACCGCGAAATAAGAATGCGTATGCCTATCTTAAGACATTTGTATCCACTAAAATTTCGTGTGCAATTATAAATATATAATGTATATATGGAGATATCTATGACAATTTAAAAACATGGCTACCATGTGAAAAATAAATTGGTCGCATTACTGTCTACATACAAGACTTTATTTAGTTTTTACAATAATTTTGTTTCATAGTATCAGCGGAACCCATTAGTCGTAAAAAGTACGTAGCTTCGATGAAATTTCTAAAGTGTTGGCGCGGATTTACCGAGTGAAACATTAGTGTTTTTAACAGTTACAATTGCATTTTTATTGTCTATCGAATCAGCTAACGGGTTTATGACGAATACAAATTCATCTATATTCTAATATCCTGCATGGTGTGTGGCAGTAGACTTCACGAAGGAGTATTAAATAATGGTAACCTTACTTTTTAATCTGGAGAAAGTTCGAATACCTCATAAGGGAAAGATATGATTTTATAGACGTATATTAGTTTCATTCATTACAAGAAAATCATAATAATCACTTATATGATTGTAAACAGTTGTACGTAATTTAGAATCGGTGTGTTTACTGTGGCTTTCGTATGTGTAT